CTAGCTCACACACAAAGGTAGGAGAATCACACTAATTTACTTCTGTGAACACTCATGGATGTCACAGGCACCAAGCCAATGGCACTTCTGGAGTGACAGCAATGGCTGTAGATTACCAACAATCTTTCTGGCCTTCTCAGGTACCAACCTGAGAGGAAAGACAAGACAGCTTTCAAGAACAGAGTGGAGATCCCACCAGACTCAAGTCAGATAGGAGCATAGGGATTCAACTAGCGCAGCAAGGCAAAGCCTGGTGCTGGATCAGATGGAGAACTGAATTGTCAGTAAGTTATTGTAAAGAGGAGATGCAGGCATTTGGAGACTCTTCTTTGACATTTTATAGTCTGGATTCTCGGCTGGAAGTGATACCAGGATCTCTGTAGAATAGTTGGCTTTGATCACAGCCAGGGTGCATGGCCAACTTCAAGAAGGAAGTTTAAAAACATGTAGCAATAACAGAGTCATTGGATTGGTGCCTTTTGATATAACAATGCCTGAAAATTGTAAAGCTCTGTGTTTGCTGATCTGTGAATCTCAATGGCCCTTGGCATTTTCACAGCTGTTGCTTGGAGTGTAACGCTTTACTTGCTGTCCTCTGCTTTGCACTGTCTGGTTGATCTGCAAAGTTAACCATGATACCCTTTGCTTTTCAAGGTGTTCATTGACGGTGTGTATCAGTGCCACAGCCAACAGGACTAACAGGCAAAAGCAGAGTGAATCCGTTGGGGAAAACAGCCTTAATCCTGCTAAGACTAGAGCATGTGATCAGGAAGTGTGAAGCTTCCAAGCTTTGATGCAAGAATGAGGAAGAGTCCCATGGTCAGGGAAAGATTTGACTCCAGGCTGAGTGCTTCTGAAGCTGTCTCCATGCTGCACTCTGTGGCAGTTTTCGCAGAGTACATGTGTGGTGTTGATTTGGGACCAAGTAGTTGAGAAGCTGTAGCTGCATCAGCTGGGCAAGCCTGCTTGGTGCATGCTGATACTTTTTTGATGACTGAAGTTTATGTCATTGCCTTTGTCAGAAGACCTAGCTTGGTACAATTGCCAGTGTTACCATGGACATCTCAGTTGCAAAATAGACACTGTAAGGCTCAGGCATGTTGCTGTTTATGCCCTGTGTTAAAACTGCTTCCATAAAGAAAAAAAGATGCGTCATTGTCATAGAGGACTCCCTTCTGAAGGGAACAGAATGCAGACCGGACCCACTTTTTGGGGAAGTCTGCTGCCTCCCTGGGGCCTAGGTTAAAGATCTGAAGAGAAACCTTCCTACCCTGGTACAGCCCTCAGATTATTATCCAATATTGATTTTTTTCAGGTAGGCAGTGATGAAGTTGCAACAAGAGTTAAGGGCAATCGAGAGACTTCAGGGCCTTTGGACAGTTGGTTAAAAGATCAGGAGCACAAGTAGGGTTCTTTATCCTGCCAGTTGCAGGGAATGATGAGGGAAGAAACAGGAAAAGCCAGCAGATCAATACCTGGCTCCGAGCCCTGTGTCACTGGCAGAATTTGGTTTTTTTTTGATAATGGGTCAGTTTACACGATGCCAGGCTTGCTGGCAATGGACAGGGTGTACCTGTCTCAAAGGGGGAAAAGGATCTTTGTACAGCAGTTAGCAGGGCTCATTGAAAGACCTTTAAACTAGATTTGGAGGGTTGAAGGGATAAAACCAGGCTCACTAGAGATAAGCCTGGGGGCAGCACACCAACATTTAAGAGACAGCATGGTAGAGAGGTCCTTTGGTCTGCTATCTCAGTGGAGGTAGCGGATGGAGATTCATGCAGCAGTAAAGATGCAAGAGTTATTGATGTGTTAAAAGCCATGGAAGTGCCTGAGAATGGTCACATAGGAATTAGGGCCTCTCCCCCGAGAAAGGTGGCAGGATCAGCAACCCAAATGAAGTGCATCTACACCAATGCACGTAGCATAGGCAACAAACAGGAGGAGCTGGGAAGCCATTGTGTGGCAGGAAAACTAGGATATAGTTGCCATCATGGAAACATGGTGGGACAACTCACACAACTGGAGCACTGCAATGGATGGCTATAAACTGTTTAGAAGGGATGAGCAAAGGAAGGAGAGGTGGTGGGGTAGCCCTGTATGTTAAGGAGTGTTTTGATTGTTTAGAGCTTAATGATGGGGCCTGCAGGAAAGATAGGGAGGAACTCTTTACCAGGGAGTGTGGTGATAGGATGAAGGGTAATGGTTTCAACCTGAAAGAAGGTGGGTTTAGATTAGATATAAAGAAGAAATTCTTTACTGTGAGGGTGGTGAGGCACTGGAACAGATTGCCCAGAGAAGCTGTGGCTG